TGTTACCCCCATTTGGGCGGGTGGAAATAGTGGACTTAAGGAGGGATCTCGTGGTAACACAAGATAATTTGGTCCCACAGGTTCAGTCTCCGGGCGCCCGGTCTAGGTCCGGGCGCTTACTTAGTAGAACGGGGGCCTACTATAAAACTAATCATAATACTATGCCGGGCGTTCCGGTGTCGGGGCGGACGAACACAAACAACGTGCGTGTGTTCTGAATGTAAAGGGTGTTACGGTTGCATGCGGGCTTGAGGTGACGTCGCGGCGTTCACCCCGGAGCCGAAGCCAATCAGTAGTGTAAGTCCCCGTTACAGTTGAAAGTCGTTGGGGCGAGGGTTATTACCGATTTGCCTTATCCACCCTGCCACTCTTGTCCCCCAATTTCGGTACCACCCCTCCGTTTCTCATGTACAAGTGACCTCCCATTTGTCCGTTTCGCGACACCACAGAAGACACACCTCTTTCACCCGGCTTTACTTTATTTATATCTAGATTCTCGTGTACTTTGCAGTTCTTTGCTGGTTTCTTATTCTGTTCTTATACCTGTACTTGTTTCGATGTCTTCCACCTTCTTAATTTTTGCTTCAGAATTCAGGGCCGTCACGAGACAAGTGTTTTGGTTAGTGTTTCGCTTCCGCGAACAGTTTCCGATTCAAATAGACACCGTCTTCTTCAACGTTTTTTAGTCGGGCCCGGGAAAATGTCTCCTCTCAAAATTAGTTTTTGACATCGAATTTAAACACTGTGGCCACACGGGGTCTCGTTTTCGGGGTGATAAAAGTTTGCACTCGACTCGTCATTTTGGTGGGCAACGACTTGGCACATCTGGTTCCGTAAAGGGTGTTAGATTTTCTTGTCGAACACCTTTTTTCCCTTTTCTAAAAGTAGCCCCCGATAAGTGGAACGACGCCTACTTCGTGGCTGTGTTCAACTCGTACGGGTCGACAGTTTAAAAGTAAGCACTCAACTGAGGTCCGGACCCGGTATTGTCTTCTCAAGAACCGTATGAGGATAACGTACGCGTTGTTGATGTCTGTGCTAGACATAACTTCTCCATAGGTCTACACATTATACTCTAACCCCGACGGAACCTTTTGAGGCACCCGCTACTTTGTCTGCCTCGTGGGGCGCTACACACCTTGGTATCCTCACCTAACCCGTTCTTATGCACTCTCCCTACGCCTGCTTTATGCGTCGTCCCACTCGACTGTCGGAATAGTGACGGCATTTGTGGGTCCTCAGCAATACACCGTTTCCAGGAACTTTTACCTAGTTACATTACTCGGTAGTTATTGGCCGTCAATTGAAGTAATCCGGTTTCCAAAGTTTAGTGCGCGGTCCATCAAGTTCCGTAAAGACCCGGCTCAATCTATGTTCTCATACCACTGAACGGGATAGTGTGCCGGACCGCCCGATTCGGTTCTTTTCCCGCCCGTGTTTTCTATTACAAAGCTCGACCGTACTCCTCTAAGACAGACAAGTACCTTTCGGTTTCTTTCCCTTTTCTGTTGTTTGTCTCGAGGCTCTTGCGAAACAAGTTGTGACATCACAAAGGGCCCAAATCTGATCAGCTCATTATCAGGACAGAAAGGGAGAGAATCTTTTTTCCTGAAACTTTCAGAATCTTTTTACACAAAGGGAACACATATTTATTTATAAAAGACATGAAAAAGTGGATTTTGCATAATAGGTGACCTTTAAAATACATATATAAATCGTTTTACTTTCAGGCCATACACTTTTATTGCAGAGTTCAAAACTTATTAAAGGTTGTCCGTCTTACACTGTAGCTCAATTGGTAGAGCTGGCCCATCTAGGGTTTATCCCCAAGTGAAGGACCATTTGCAGCATGTCATTTCCTCCATCTCCCCGTTTCAACTCTGTCTCTACAATAAAATAACTGGTTTAGTTAAGTTTAGTTACTTCTCAAGCAGTGTATCCCGAAGGGCTGGAGCTCACATCTAAACATGAAACTTGTTGTTTTGTTTCTGAATTCGCTTTACTTGAAGTAAATGGCAGGATGGAGCATAACGAATGGTGGTAGTGTGACCCCACTTAGCAAAGCATTTCTTAGACAACAGCTGTAATGATATTACTTATTTAAGCTCTTACATCAGCATCCGACTGACCCCATTAAGGTTATGTTCAAAGCGACACTAATGTATAAAGATGTATTTGAGTACCTCTGCTTAACTGGAGTTTTGACAGACTTACTTTTAAACCCTGATTTACCTTGTGGATTAGTGTGTGCTGTGGAACATTCAAATGAAGGCCACATTTTTTATTGCTTTACATCTTCCCACTGTAAACACGTAAATTGATTAATGATGTATAGTCATTTCTGATGGGAAATATCTTACATTCAATAATACAGGCATAACGAAAGCATAGAAAATGTGTGGAAAAACTGAGCCTTTAAGCCAAAAGCAGACAGCTGTTTTACTTTACAATAGCTCTTGATTTTCTATTGTTTGCATTGTTAAGCTGCTACGGTGACAGTTTAGGGAAATGGGATGATCCTATTTTGCCTGACAGCACTGCAGAAACTGTGTGACAATGGTGTATTTGTTTGTGCACACGCAAGAGAAATCACCTAAAATAGCCTCTTCTGTCCGCTTTGATTCTGCTCGTAATCATATTATTCAGTACATGATTACTCACAACTGCGTGGTTGCTGCCAATTGCATTTCTGCGATTATTGCCAAGACTGTAATTCTGTTGAAAAGGAAAGGATGCATTTTCCACAGCCTTGTTTACAACTACATAGCATTTTTGTAATAACAATGGAAAACCAAGGGCTCACTGATTACGGTGAAGATTTCCACCAAACGTTAAGCATTGTTATTTTGTCAGGTTTAACATTGATGAAAAACCCAAGAAAGTAACATGTAATGCTGGGAGATAACCCAATTTGATCACACATTAACTTTCATTGATGAACATGATTGATGTGATTATTTTGTAATGTTGTGTTACAACATGTAGTTGTCCAAAGTAATAAATATTGTGCTGTTGATTTGAACTCTGATACAAAGTTCAAGTTGGAGCTCATGAGGCAAGGGAAACTGCTAATATGAGTTTGTGAGATGATGCAGATGTTTGGCTACCTGTTTATAACGCCTCTCATGGTTTCTTTCATGAGCTTGTTCTGCCTACTGTTCCCCCAGAGTGCTATTAGCCTCACTATGATGTTGTTTGCCTGGCTATAGAGCTGGTTTCAGGGCTCTCTGGTGCCCTTTGAATCTCTGACAGCAATAGACCACCCACTGGTATGCCACGTGTCTGGGGAGCTGACAAGTGGTAATTAGGCTTCAGACGATTTCTCTTCGGAGGCAGCCCTCTGCTCTCTTGCCCCTCTGTCCACTGCGAGAACAGCAGGTGTCGTAGCTGGAGCAGGCTGTTAACCAACAGTGTAATGCAATTTTTTCCACAGCTGAATTTTATTTGTACTTTCTTTCATCTTGGCTTTCATCGTCAGTTAGGCAGATGGCAGCCAATGTGGACAAGCTCTCCTTCAGTCACCTTTACACTAACATAAATACAACTTCAGGTGCAAAGAGGGGGAAATAAAATCCTCCTTCCACATGAGGTTTCTGGGCTGCCCCCAAACCAGAGTCAGCACGGGTCAATGGCGAAACAAATTTAATTACAGTCTGCCTGGTGATGTGCCTCCATCTCTCACCTGTTTGAGAGGCTCCGGGAAAGCCTTTCCACAGCAACAGCTGAGACAGAGCTGGATGCGGACCAAGGGCCTGAGTGAGAGCTGGGGCTCGAAGGCCCTCAGCCCCATTTTATCAGAGTATTCAAAGTCACTGTGGGCGGGCTGCGGCGGCTATTGCATTCCTCTGCTCTTAGATAACAGCCACTTATCTTCAGCGCTCTAGAGTCGCCAGAAAAAAGGAGGTTTGATAAGAGTTTAAATGCGGACCTTATGTGGCTTGCATGGTAAACGGCCTCATGGAATAGGAGAGATAAGTTTGGTTATTAAAAAATCCTTGTGAAGGAGACCCGATTTGTAATCTTAACTTGAAGCATATTTCTTCTCCAAAATGCTGCTTGAAATGATGAGCTTGTAGATGACACAGATGTCAACTACAGTGAGACTCAAAGGGCACTATCACATACGAGACACCTGAGCGTTGTCTCTGAACGCAAGCGCTCCACGTTATGAATACTAAACCCAAGGAGAGAGAGAGGTTTCCAAACATGGCTGGTTTCGGGAATTAAGAAAGAGAACAAGCAGGGAAAATATCCTCAGTGTTTTGAGGTGACCCTGCGTCTTGTAGTGAGACACCTGCGAGTTGGCCAGTTGCCCAGCCTTAAATTGGCTAATCTCCTCGGCCCTCGTGTGGGGCCCCCGGGAATACAGGGAGTGACAGGCTGTTTGTCTGGGATTGCATATGCCCCACCTCTTACCCTCCTCTCCTTCTGCCTTTCTCAATCCAAACCCCCTCTTCCCCACACACACATACACACAACTCCAACTCGTCTTCTTTCTCACTGCACTCTGGCAATTTCCATCGCTGGTTCTAAAGAGATTTGAAATTGCCTTTGGTCTTGAAGCCTTGGCAATTAGCAATTAGTGAAGTGTTTGTAGCAAGCCCTCCCCGCCTCCCTTGTGCTCCCTTTCCCGCTGTGTTGCCGCCGCATCCACCCGTGACTACCACCCTGTATTGATGTATTGAAACCATAAGACCTCGCTTTGTGTGCGTGTGTTAGTGCACCCAAGCATTTAATAGTCTGTATGTACTGTACACGCTCTGTATGCCGGTGTCTCTGTGTGGCTATATGTGATATCGTGTGTCAGCCTCTTAGTGTCATATTGCCTCTGAACATATGCACTGACCCTGACCATCCTTCTGTGTTGTCTTTGATGGCAGTGACAGCGAAGAGAAGCCACTGAAGGGCAGTAGCGTGTGTTCCCTGAATGGCGCGATGGGGGACGGCGTCAGCAGAGACAGCATGGTCGACTATGCCGACGGCGGACGAGAATTCAACGAGGACGGTTCATTTATCGGAGAATATTCCGATCGCAGGCACGGAGGCTCTGTTAGCGAGCCCAGTGGACCCAGACCAGTCACTGCATAAAGCCAGGCTCCAAATGCAACGGTCTACTTCAAATCCTTTCAAGATACTTTTCAAATTCAGCTTCCCTGGCATCAAATATAGCTAGAGTATTTAAATACGGGGGAATAAAAATTACTCAAATGTGCAGAAGTTTGGCTCAGGGACTGGAAAAGGAAAAATACACCCACCATACAGATCAAATCAAGAGTTGTTGTATATACTGTAAGAGAATTAACTGTATCTTTTGAGTTTTTCAAGATTATTAAAGTGTTTTTTGTACCGATCAGCCACGATCTTCAGCTGTGTATATTGATTGTTAATTTTGCAAAAGGTAGAACACCAATAATTATTTCGTACGATGAGAAAACTCTGAGGATGACAGACATTAGAAATACATATGCATCTCGAAACTAAGTTGATTCATTTATTACACAGTGGAATCAACATAGTCATAAATGCTTTACTGCCCATTACTGTATTATATTTAAATATGTATATATATATATATATATATATATATATGATGTTTTTGTTTCTGATATGTTATAATATGCAAATGTATGACAGTTCAAAATATGTGTATTTTTTATTATATTTTTAATTGTACATTGCCATTAACATCAATCAGGAGACACAAACGTAAACATAAGATTACAATTACAAATCAAAGTATCAAATTACAAGCAACGGTATATATATTGTAAGTTGTTTAGCAAGGTGGTTGGAGTGATATGTGTATTGCTGCATTCAGCTCTGCAGTGGAATCATGAATGCATTTATCTAAGGAACTTATCAAAACTTTAAATTGGTGAGCTTTCACCTTCAGGCCCCAGTAATGAAGAGGGAGTTTTTAAACTGAAGCAATTTGTCATACTCTTATTTATTTTTGACTTTTTTAATCATGTGCCTTTATTCCGCTGGATATTGCAGTATGAATCACACTACATTCCTTTAAACGATCAAGCAGCTGGGATATTTATTTTCTGGAAATTATTAATGATCAGTACTTCCCTTCCAATTATTATTTAAACTCGGTGCAATGATTCATCAGACTCCATTTGCTGCTCCTTTTTGTAAATTAAAAAGCATCCACTTATCTGGTAAGCTCACTTTCAAGTTGAGATGTCCTTCCCCTGAACATTGAATGTGAATATAGTCTAGGAAAAAATGTATTCCTGGGTTTTTGGCTATTTACAAAATAATACGAAGCGCCGAGTGATATGATACAAACATGGCTAAATTAAGCTATTCTCAAAGATCAAACACATAGCAAATCCCCAAAATATACTTTTTTATCCAAAATACATGCAGTGAATCCTCTCATGCATAATGCATGTTGCTGAAATATTAATCAAGGATACAAGTAAAGTTGAGATTGGTCCAATTCAAAAGTGTTACTTAACCAAATAAACAGGATTCAGTAGCATTGCCTGCTACAGAGTACTAAAGTGTTTAACTCGCTAGAGGCTCATTTTCTATGTCTAAGATTGATCACTGAGTTGTTTTAAGATATAAAGACTTTCTAAAAGAAAGAAGATGTTTGAAAACTTAAGAGATCCAGTTAGATGTGTGAAGGCGTATCACAGAGGACTGTGTTTCATATCGAAGTGAGAATACATTTGGTCCACAGAAACTTTTAACAACTAAACTGCATGTTGTATGAGTTTATTTCAAGATATTAAAGACAAAATCCTCCCACACAGTAAACATGAGAAAAACAACAGTCCAAAATAAAGAGAGCTTTGTCTTCAAACCAAAATAAAAAAAAGTTATATGATAGCAAGTCCAGCTCTGAAGTATAGTTAACATTGTAGTCAATCCTTCCTATTACTTGGGTTCAGATAATTGGAACCAGATCCCATGGCTCCAATTATTTGAAACAAAGCAGCGCTCGTTCTCCCCTTCATTTTCTGAGGGAAAATATAGCACCTTTGACGAGGCAGAAATCCCAACTTGCAAAGATGGGAGATGATTGACTCATCCATCATTTGGTGGAAGCCTCTAAAACAGCCCAACATCCCCTCTGATTCACTCCATTATTTCTGAGTCTTCATGGTTCAGTAAGATTTTTTCGCTTATTCACCATCATTATTTGTCCCAAAACAAACCAAAAGTGAACCACTGTCACTAAAACAGAACATAATCCAAACGCAGGACGATTCACAAAGTCACATAAACGGGTTTATTTTATTTTACATCCTTTCACTCCTTTAACTGGACTTATTGCATATCTCTAAAATACCTTAGAGGCCCTTATCTTCTTTTTTGAATACACTGCACAGCCTCCCTGTAGCCTGTCTATAGCCAGGGCCCAGGAGTTCAAAACTTTTAATCCCTATCTGATCAAATCAGATTTGGATTTTGGGGAGTTCAAAACCAAAAAACAGGATTAGGATCACTTTCATATCCGATCAGATCAGGAAATCCAATAAAAGCTTTAATCTGGATCAAATCTTCAAAACGGGTAGTTCAAACCGACAACACAGGATTGGGATCAGTTTGATCCCAAAAAACTGGATCCTCCTGACCCCACCAGAGGGCTGGATCTCCAGTGGATTACCAGAGCAAAATGTACTGTACCATTTATTTAGAAATATGTTTCAATTTAAATAAGATGGCAAAGTGTGTTAACATCAATAATACATAATTTATTAGCCTTCATTTTATTTTCCATTTTTGCTCACGTTTGTGGTGGCCTATTTTGTTTTCAACCAAATATTGATGACACAAATGTTTATGCTCATAAAAGTATCACAGCAAAGATTGTCAATCACAAATGTAATTTAGATTAAAGTAAAAAAGTCCATCATCTGTCATCACCTTTCAAATTTTAAAAATAGAATTAGACATTATAGATGTCTCTGCAATGTGGTCTCTTGTCTTCCTTGTATTTCTTTTCATGTCCACTAGATGGAGACCGGTAGAATTAAAGCACTGATATTCAGGATCTAGTCATCTTGAGAAGTCTGAATCTGGATCGGGCTGATCCTGGATCACAAAACATGGGATTTCAAAATCTGATTGAGATTCAAAGTGTTGAACTCCTGGGCCCTGGAGATATTCTTTTCAAACCCACACCCTGTGCCATATCTATGAAGTGTAATCTTAATCCCGTGTGTCTCCAGCAGATGGCGCCCACCAGGATGAAGCTGCGCGTTCGTATTCGAGACAACAACACGGCGGCTTCAACGACAGGAAGTACTGAACCTGTGGAGGAAGAGGAGCGAAGCCGAGGCGTTCGCAGCAGCAGCAGGAGGAAGAAGAAAAGCACCCCCAATACTCCCACTCCCTCTTCATCCTCACCTCCTCCTCCTCTTCCTCCTCCTCCTCTTCCTCTCGCCTCCTCCTCCTCCTCCTCCTCCTCCTCGTCTCTTCCGGTGCCAGAGGAGGCGTCTCCAGACTCAAAGTGTCCCATCTGCCTGGACCGGTTTAACAACTTGGCGTATCTGGACCGCTGCCTGCACCGGTTCTGCTTCCCCTGCATCCAGGAGTGGTCTCACAGCAAGGCCGAGTGCCCGCTCTGCAAGCAGCCCTTCGCCTCCATCCTGCACTCCGTCCTCGCTGAAGACGACTTCAAGGAATACACTCTGCGTCCCCCCACGCCCGCCAGCAGCAGCGTGGCCGCCACCGTCGCCATGGTGGCCGCCATGGCGTCTGCAGCGAGGAACGACCACCAGATGAGGCTTATGCTGAGGAGGCAGAGGAGGGAGGAAGAGGAGGGGGGNCCTGATCCCACCAGAGGGGTGGATTTCCAGTGGATTACCAGAGCAAAATGTACTGTACAATTTATTTTAAAATATGTTTCAATTTAAATAAGATGGCAAAGTTTGTTAACTGAAATAATTTACAATTTTTAGCCTTCATGGGAAATACATTTTATTTTTTCCATTTTTGCTCACGTTTGTGGTGGCCTATTTTGTTTTCAACCAAATGTTGATGACATAAATGTTTATGCTCATAAAAGTATCACAGCAAAGATTGTCAATCACAAATGTAATTTAGATTAAAGTAAAAATATCTTCAACAAAAAAGAAGTCCATCATCTGTCATCACCTTTCAAATAAAAAAATATAATTAGACATTATAGATGTCTCTGCAATGTGGTCTCTTGTCTTCCTTGTATTATTTTTCATGTCCACTAGATGGCGATCGGTAGGATTAAAGCACTGATATTCAGGATCTAGTCCTCTTGAAAAATCGTAATCTGGATCAGGCTGATCCTATCCTGAATTGCTTTGAACTCCAGGGACAACATTTGGCCGACTTGTCTGATCCTGGATCACAAAAAATGGGATTTCAAAATCTGATCGGATCTGATTGAGATTAAAAGTTTTGAACTCCTGGGCCCTGGTGATTATAAATAGGCATTGTAGCCGTAATCAAACCAGACTTTGGATAGTGGAGTTGAAAAGCACTCCATGCCTCATGGCAAGATAAAGGTCATTTAAAGAGGTAATCCCTGTATTATCAGGGATTACGCCCTCATCCATTTTAAAATTGCTTTCTCCGGAGAATGTTAAAACCTCTAAACAACAACAAAAGATTACTCCAGTCGAATCCATGAGTGTCACACTAGAGATGTCTTGCTCCGCTAAATCTATTTGGAGAACCTGCAGGTGACCCTTTTATAAAACCTTTCAATAGTCATAATAGCCCTGTTTTCTAAAGAGCAAAGGTCAGGAAGTTTACATGGTTTCATGTTAAATGGAACAGCCTTATTTGTTGCACTGCACACACCCATATATCTGAGTTTAAAGCGGATCACTCCCTTTTAGTCAATTTGATCTGAGCTAATATTTAGGCTAAGTAGCCTGGCAATTGCCTGGTGGGAGGAAATCGATAGCATACTGACACATGCTGTGAGTTCAGCCCTCAGCGTTGCATCAATCTTAAACCAACTGAAGACGCTGAAAGGGCAGTGTAAGAAGTGAAGCATGGAGGGAAGATTTACATTTTCTTAGGGTGCAAGATGTTGAGTCGACGCTGTGAATACCCAGTCAAGAAGAAGGTAACACGGTGGCCATGAAGGTATCATCAATAATGAACACCAGCGAGTTCAACGAGAGGGGAACTGTGATAGGTATTCCAGAGATGCTCCTATGGAAAACCTTCTATTTGTTGGTGGGTTTTAAAGCATTTGCAAAGGAATCTGCATCAGGAGTTGTGACCAATGTCACAGCTCCCGCTTTCTAAAAGGGACAAAGAGTTTTCCGGGGCCTATTGAAAGCAACACACGCAAACGCTCTCAAGGATGAGCTTTGAGCACTTCACCATATAAATGGGTTA